GCTAATGTAATTATCACAGGCAGGAAAATATACAGTTTTTACACATTTCTTATAACTTTAAAATTACACATGATATTCGCATAAAATCTGCGAATCCGTTCAGGAGTTAGCTGGAAGTCTCTTTTGACTCTTTCGAATGGTTCCAGGGTGGCTGAAGGAAGGAATTAGTGGAGTTAACCAGTCGGGTTACCCGTGGTCTGCTACATCTGGTGGCAGCGGTAGGATGGTACTTCCCAGCAGAACTTAACCAACGTTCGTTAACCAAACAAACAGTCGAACAGATTTATGAACTACACAGCTCTAAAGCGAAAAACCCTCACGGAGTTGCTGGATGCTCAAGGACAAGTTGCCAGCAACCGTTCCAAGGCTGACCTAATTGCAGCACTCATGGAGGGTGATGGAATCAGCAGTGGTCTCGCTGTACCTTCAGTCAGCAAGACGGAAGTACAAAAGGAATACGCCTAGCATTCCATGGGGCCAGTCCGTCCAACGCAATCGTGGTCCGAACGCTATCTGAGGTACAAGTGTACCTTCTGGCAAAAGGTGAATGGGGAAAATCAGCTGCAGCTAACCGAACGGCGATCCCTGGACACATCGATAATCGTTTCACCAGCTCCCGAACAATAGCCAAAAGTGCTGTATAATGCATTTAAAACATTTGTAGATGCAGAGGAGGACATTGATGAGTTTCCACAAGATTTTGAGTGTTTGTTACCTCCATGACATTGCACCCGCAGACTGGGTCCCGCTCTTAGCTGGAAAGTTAATAGGGAAAGCTGCAGACGCTTAGCGGGCATTACCTTACACAGACCTACGCAACCCCTGTGCAAGCTGCAGTGAATAACCGCGGTCTTCACTGGTAGCCAGTAAAGTTTAATGGGTGCCCCATACCCCCTGCGAGATACAGGTATCACCCTGACCCTTGTCCGGCACCAGCAGATCACCGAGGCAGAAAGGACCGGAGGAAAGGTAGCAGTCCAGATAGCAGGGGGAGCAGTGTACAGACTATCCACTGCTAAAGTTCACCTAGACTGGGGCGCTGAAAGTGGGATGGTCGAAGTTGTACTTATGAACCATCTCCTAGCAGAAGTATTATTTGGCAATAATCTAGGACAGGTGACCTCCATGTTTGTACCCCAAGTGACTACTGAAGAGTCCTATCCGGTGATGACCAGACAGCAGGCCCGCAGCGACCAAGACTGCTTGCCCTGGTCCCTTTCCCCTGGGATACCCTGCACAGTTTGGAAAAGAGGTAGCCTCTAACCCTTCCCTGCAGAAATATAGGGATAAAGTAGCCACTAGTCAGGCAGGGTTGGAGCTAGAACAGTTTAAGGGAGAAAAGAGTTTGCTATATAGGATAGCAGAGAGGATAGGTTCAGGAACTGCCCCGAATATTATTTTATTATTATTATTATTGCCATTTATATAGCGCCAATACTACCAGACAGCTAGTAGTACCCAGGAGGTATAGGCATGAGCTGTTGAAAATAGCCCATGATATTCCCCTAGTGGGACATTTGGTAGTGAGTCGTACCAAACCGACTCACCCAAAGTTTCTTCTGGCCAGGTATCTCTAAGGACCTATGGCAATACTGCCAGTCTTGTGATGTCTGTCAAAGTGGGGAGACTGGGTGATAGGCGCAAGGTCAAGCTCCATACCCTTCCCATTATTGAAGACCCATTTGGTAGGGTAGCTGTCTACTTCATTGGCCCCCTGGCTAAGCCTAGTCCTTCTGGGAAGAAATATATTCTGACCATTGTGGACTACACAACTAGGTATCCTGAGGCAGTGGCTCTGAATAATATTCAAGCGGAGACTGTAACAGAGGCACTGATGCAATTATTTTCCAGTATGGGTTTTCCACAGGAAATTATCTGATATCAAGGCACCCAGTTTACTGCCGAAATGATCCACCAATTGTGGAGGTTATGTGGCATAAAACCCATCAGACTAATGACCTGTGCGAGCGCTTCAACGGTACATTAAAGCAGATGCTCCGTCCGTTGGCAGTGACTCGCAAAGACTGGGAAAGATTCCTGCCACACCTCCTGTTCACATATTGGGAGGTACCGCAGGAATCTACAGGCTTCTCTCCGTTAGCGTTATTATTTGGGCGGAGAGTTAGAGGACCCCTGGATCTGGTAAGAGAACACTGGGAAGGGGAGGTGGATCACGAATGAATCACCATCGTCCCAGAGGTGCTGGAGCTTCGGGATTGACTGGATGGCAGAAATGCAGTACCTGGGCCACCGAGTAGGGTGTGGGAAGCAGAAACCTGAACCAGTCAAGATTGAGGCAGTAGCTAATTGGCCACTTCCCCGCACTAAGACACAAATGCTAGCCTTTTAAGGGACTGCCGGCTATTATAGAAAATTCATCCCAAATTACAGCGCCCTAGCCAAGCACCTCACTGACCTGACCCAAAAGCACTTGCCCCGACAAGTAAACTGGACACCAGAGTGCGAACAAATGTTTTAGGCCTCTAAGAGTGCTCTTGTAGATGCACCCGTCTTGGCCGCTCCTAATCCAAATAAATTTTTTCTCATCCACACAGATGTTTGGATTAGGAGCAGTGCTGAGCCAGGTCGGGGATGATGGCGAAGAACATCTAGTTGGTTACCTCAGCAGAAAACTACTACCAAGGGAGGTGAGCTACGCCGCCATTGAAAAGGAGTGTCTGGAGGTAGTGTGGGCCCTTAAGCTTCAACCCTACATTTATGGACAACAATTTACCTTACTTACTGATCACAACCCATTGGTATGGCTTAACCAGATCGCTGGGGATAACGCCAGGCTATTACGTTGGAGTCTGACATTACAGCCTTATGACTTTATCATCCATTATCGACCTAGGAAGCAAAATGGAAATGCCGATGGGTTATCACGACAAACAGAACTGGAGAAGTGATCCGTGAGTACTCCAAAAGACATCCCCATGCCGATCTGTAAGGATCAGACTTTGTATTGTGGTTAAGGGGTAGCTGTGTGGCGGAACCTACTGCAAATTTCATATACTTTGCCCCTGTTCGTGTTTTTTTCCCTTTTTACGTTCGGGAGTTATTATATACGAATGCCATCCATTTGTCTTCCAAACGAGGACCACCATTGTACCCCATTAGAACGTTCACACCAGCAACTTAAGTGTGAAACCACAAGGGAAGTAATTAATGAATGCTTCCCCTGGGTGGCCACCATTTTGTATAACCAAATGCACGTGGTCGACAAAAGAATGGCAGCCATCTTGTCTCACGAACGTGGGCAGCGGCACTTGGTCGTCGAGTGCCTGGAACTATTTTTGGCTAGGCACTGACACAAACCCTGGTAAAGATTAGACCATTGCCTGTTCTACTTCCTGACCACCTATGCGAACGATGTTCGGGAGATATGAACTACTGAACAGGGGGAGCATTCGTTTCCTGAAACTAAGAGATTCCCTTGCATGGTGTCCGCACAGGAATCCCTGAACAGAGACCGTCCACAACACCTATTCCCCAGGAACTGCTTTTGGCTAGCGCCTCGTGTCCGGCCGGTCAAAACTTTACCCCGGTGGCATTCCAGTTTCACCAAACTGATCTGAGTGATATTTGAATATATTATTCACTCAGATCAGGGCTATCCGGGGATATTACTTTTGTGGGGTTCCTAGTTATGGTGGGCCATTTTTGGGGTACTGTATATTTTGGATAGATTTTCTTTACCTGGGAAATAATTAAAGAAGTTATTCTCACGCAATTATCTCTTAGGCACAGAGGATCTTGGGACTGAAACCCCTGTGTTATTGTATTAAAGACAGCATGTAGGGGTCTGTGCATAAAAGCCGTATGTGGCCAGAATAAAAATCAGTTGACTCCCAGCACTAGGTTTCGTCTAGTTAGTGGGGGAATGGATGTCTGTGTATTCTGATGGTTCCAGAGTGGCTGAAGGAAGGAATTAGCAAAGGTAACCAGTCGGGTTATCCGTGGTCCACTACACAAATCACATGCCAAAACTGTGGCAACAAATTACCAAGTTGTGGGACTATGGATGAGTCAAAGCATTTTATCAGTATACAATAGCCTGAGATCTCATTTAATCTTGCCACTTAGATTAAACTCCTGAAAATTAGTGCATAACCGTTTAAACGTCTCACAGCACATATAACTCTGTAACGGATCACCTGGCACCCCGACTGGGTACCTCCGTTGAAGGATGCTCCTAGCACTTCCTGAGGACTCCAAGCACTGCAGCAGACACCAAAACCACCGAACCGTAGGAGCATATGAATGTTGTATACAGCCGAATAGGACAAAACATGCGAATCTGTTTACACTCCTAGCAGTCAAACTGGAACAGCATACAATAAATACTCCCCCAATAATGAGACGACACTTCACTTTGAGGGTTAAGCAGGAACTGACTGTACTGGCACATACAGCCTCTTTTATTCCAAATCCACAAACTTAGTACTGCCCACAGGGTTTTACAGAACAACCAACCAATCTGTACAATATACACAGACACTCCCACACAAAATCCTCCCCTCTGCCTGTAATACAATTACCTTACACAATGGGTAATCTAATTATCCCAGACAGAGAAATACAGTTTCATAAAACACATCACAGGGACCCCAAAATATGCCCCCCAAAAGTATATCCTTGGAACCGGGGAATCTGGGTGAACCACATATCCGAAATTCATCCAGATCCGTTCAGTACTTTGGAAGATACAGTTTAATGGAGATTCTGCAGAACATATACAGGCTAAATGAAAAACAATCACTGTATAATGTGTCCCCTGCTGTATAGTCCAAAACCACTGCACGATGTCTCTGTGCACCAAATACTGGCGAGATGGCACCGTGTTGAAAAGTCCAAACAGTGTCTGTGAGTTAAAATAGCCGCCATCCATTGTTCTCACCATGTGCTTCATCCATTGTTCTCACCATGTGCCTCTGATACAGGAAATGGTGGCCACCCAGTAACTCCACAGTATGTCCCCAGATGGTTCTTAAAGGGCCAGCAGCAGCACAACACAAATCCCTTATGGCCAAATCATGTCTTTAAAGGGCAATACATCCCAGGGGCCATAGTCACATGGCAGGAGGCTGGCAATCAGTCTTCTCCAATGCCCAGTGGCGAGGTCGGTTTCGCCACAAACTCTATGAAGGAAAACCTGGCATATAATGCATTGTTGCATTACTATATGACCATGTGTTGCAAAATGACTATAAAAGCATCCATTTTAATAACTACACCCGTATACATTGTAATATGGATACTTTAGCTTACACATTCTTATGACAGCACAAGCACTTTGCATTGTAGTGATTTTATATCCAGATATGATAATTTAGAACATATCCTTGGTTTGATTCTATATGAATTGGAGAATGATTCCAAATCAGCATAGTTTAACTGATTTTTATAACATGGCACTTATCAATTGTAAGCTTGTTTGAGCAAGGCTTTCAAATATCCCCTTTCTGTAAATGTAAAGTGCTGTGGAATATGTTGGCACTTTACAAATGCTAATAATAATGGTAACAGGACAGAACAATGCTCTATTTTGTGCCACAAAAATCCCAAAGTGACAGCCTTACAGTTAGACTACTGGTATTTGTCTTTTCCTAATAGGGTCATAACCTGAATGAGAGAGATAGGATATGTCCAATAACACAACATCAGTATGAATATATAGTTTTTAGAACAATTGAAAATAAAAAAAAGTCTATTTTGACACCCACAAACTAGGAATTTGACATTTTAGGTGTACACATTTATGTTGGAAAATGTTATTAAAGGACCACTCTAGGCACCCAGACCACTTCAGCTTAATGAAGTGGTCTGGGTGCCAGGTCCCTCTAGGATGAACCCTTTTTTTTTTTTTATAAGCATAGTTTCAGAGAAACTGCTATGTTTATAAATGGGTTAATCCAGCCTCTAAAGCCTCTAGTGGCTGTCTCATTGACAGCCGCTAGAGGCGTTTGCGTGCTTCTCACTGTGAAAATCACAGTGAGAAGACGCCAGCGTACACAGGAAAGCATTATAAATGCTTTCCTATGAGACTGACTGAATGCGCGCGCAGCTCCTGCCGCGCATGCGTATTCAGCCGAAGAGGAGGATCGGAGGCGGAGAGGAGAGCTCCCCGCCCGGCGCTGGAAAAAAGGTAAGATTTAACCCTTTCCTCTCCCCAGAGTCCGGCGGGAGGGGGACCCTGAGGGTGGGGGCACACTCAGGGCACTATAATGCCAGGAAAACTAGTATGTTTTCCTGGCACTATAGTGGTCCTTTAAATTGCCATGTTTACCTTGTTGGATTTGCACAAATTTAAAATTCCGGTGTCACTTCTCCAATATTCCATGTTCCTCTGAATCCTGGGTGTATGTGTTTCTCTGTAAAAGTCACGTATGAACTGACTAATAGCTCAGCTGTGCAGGGTATTTATAGGCTTGGTCAGTGACATCATAAGAACAGGATGACATCACTGAAGACATGTGTAGCTAATGGACACTACTGATGTCATCCAGGCACATAGAATTAGAATATAAGGTGTAGAGTAAAGGCTATTATTTTTACTAATATTTTTAAATATCTTTGTGCAATTCATTTCTTTTCTAAAATATAAGCCAGAGTGCTAATTTATGACATTATATCCTAGTAAGCCAAGTCTGTAAATTCCTCAATCCACCAAAAGGATCAGGTAACAGTTCCTGTAGGCGCACAGATCTTCTGCCCTCTTAAAAACATACAAACAAGAAAAACCCCAAAACTAAGCAGGTTCTCTACCTCAGGCTGCTCAACAGTATGAAAAAGGAGAGGGTAAGTAATCGTAAAGGGGGGGCAAATGAATATTTAGATATGGTGATCATCTTCAAGATAGTTGCCCCTGTTTAAAGGGACATTATAACTACTATGTCTCATTGGGCATAGATGTATAGGCTTTTTTTGTTTTGTATTTAATAATTTATAAAATTTGTATTTTTTTTTTTTAAATATACACTCGCTAAATAAATATGGTTAGCAAACTCCACAGTGAGTTCATTAAATTATAAGTACTGTATATCAATATAACCAGGGGAGGGCTGGCAGCCTTAGGCCTCGGGGGCAAAACCAGTCAAGTGGCCCATTGCACCACCAAATCAGTTCACCATCCATGCCCACCTTTTCCTGGTTTTATAACGGATATTGATGTTATGCTAATCAGTAGCTCTTTGCCATACCCGCTCCTTCACGGCTCTGACTTTCAATGTTGTCAGAGCGCAGGCGGAGAATCTCTGAACCTGTGCTCTGACTCACTAACTGAGCGTCGGAACCATGAGGGAGAGGATATGATCTGACTGCACCTACTGCTGGTGTGCACCAGTGGACCACCAGCGAATAGTTTAAATTTAATATGCTGGTGTACCCCAACTTGTGAGCTGTTTTGGCTGCCGGGCGCCTCTGTTGTCATGGCACCCTGCGTGACCGCACAGCATGCACACCCCAACGGCTGGTCCTGCTGACGTACACTGATGTTACTAATTAGAAATCCCTCAATGTGTGTATGAGTGTAAGAGATGCATTGTGTTTCTGTGTGTATGTAAGAAAAGCAGTGTGTGTAAGGGTTTGCATTGTGTGTTTCTGTGTATGTGATGCATTGTCTTTGTGTGTAAGGGTTGCATTGTGTGTGTGTGTGTGTGTGTGTGTGTGTGTAAGGAAAACATGTGTTTTTGTGTGTGTAGGGATGCATTGTGTGTTTCTGTGTGTGCGTGCGTAGTGTGAAAGAGCTCCCTGTCTTGCCCCCTGTCCTACAGAGCTGTCCCTTAGAGCTCTCCCC